CAAAGCCAAATGGCAAAGCCAAACGGCAAAGCCAAACGGCTAAGCCAAACGGCTAAGCCAAACGGCTAAACCAAACGGCTAAGACAAACGGCTAAGACAAACGGCTAAGCCAAACGGCTAAGCCAAACGGCTAAGCCAAACGGCTAAGCCAAACGGCTAAGCCAAACGGCTAAGCCAAACGGCTAAGCCAAACGGCTAAGCCAAGCCAAACGGCTAAGCCAAACGGCTAAGCCAAACGGCTAAGCCAAACGGCTAAGCCAAACGGCTAAGCCAAACGGCTAAGCCAAACGGCTAAGCCAAACGGCTAAGACAAATGGCTAAGCCAAATGGCTAAGACAAATGGCTAAGCCAAAGGGCTAAGACAAACGGCTAAGCCAAACGGCTAAGACAAACGGCTAAGACAAACGGCAAAGCCAAATGGCAAAGCCAAATGGCAAAGCCAAATGGCAAAGCCAAATGGCTAAGCCAAATGGCTAAGACAAATGGCTAAGCCAAATGGCTAAGACAAACGGCTAAGCCAAATGGCTAAGACAAACGGCTAAGCCAAATGGCTAAGACAAACGGCTAAGCCAAATGGCTAAGCCAAATGGCTAAGACAAATGGCAAAGCCAAATGGCTAAGCCAAAGGGCAAAGCCAAATGGCTAAGCCAAATGGCTAAGCCAAACGGCTAAGCCAAACAGCTGAGCCAAACGGCAAAGCCAAACGGCAAAGCAAACGGCTAAGCCTAACGGCAAAGCCAAATGGCTAAGACAAATGGCTAAGCCAAACGGCTAAGCCAAATGGCTAAGCCAAATGGCTAAGCGAAATGGCTAAGACAAACGGCTAAGCCAAAATGACAAAGCCAAATGGCTAAGCCAAATGGCAAAGCCAAATGGCTAAGCCAAACGGCTAAGCCAAACGGCTAAGCCAAACGGCTAAGCCAAACGGCTAAGCCAAACGGCTAAGCCAAACGGCTAAGACAAACGGCTAAGACAAATGGCAAAGCCAACGGCTAAGCCAAATGGCAAAGCCAAATGGCTAAGCCAAACGGCTAAGCCAAACGGCTAAGCCAAACGGCTTAGCCAAATGGCTAAGACAAATGGCTAAGCCAAATGGCTAAGCCAAATGGCTAAGACAAATGGCTAAGCCAAATGGCTAAGCCAAACGGCTAAGCCAAATGGCTAAGCCAAATGGCAAAGACAAACGGCTAAGACAAATGGCAAAGCCAACGGCTAAGCCAAATGGCAAAGCCAAATGGCTAAGCCAAACGGCTAAGCCAAACGGCTAAGCCAAACGGCTTAGCCAAATGGCTAAGACAAATGGCTAAGCCAAATGGCTAAGCCAAATGGCTAAGACAAATGGCTAAGCCAAATGGCTAAGCCAAACGGCTAAGCCAAATGGCTAAGCCAAATGGCTAAGCCAAATGGCTAAGCCAAATGGCAAAGACAAATGGCTAAGTCAAATGGCTAAGCCAAACGGCTAAGCCAAACGGCTAAGCCAAACAGCTAAGCCAAATGGCTTAGCCAAATGGCTAAGACAAATGGCTAAGCCAAATGGCTAAGCCAAATGGCTAAGACAAATGGCTAAGCCAAATGGCTAAGCCAAATGGCTAAGCCAAATGGCTAAGACAAATGGCTAAGCCAAATGGCTAAGCGAAATGGCTAAGACAATTGGCTAAGCCAAATGGCAAAGCCAAATGGCTAAGCCAAATGGCTAAGCCAAATGGCTAAGACAAACGGCAAAGCCAAACGGCTAAGACAAACGGCAAAGCCAAAGGCTAAGCCAAACGGCTAAGACAAACGGCTAAGCCAAACGGCTAAGACAAACGGCTAAGCCAAACGGCTAAGACAAACGGCTAAGCCAAACGGCTAAGACAAACGGCTAAGCCAAACGGCTAAGACAAACGGCTAAGACAAACGGCAAAGCCAAATGGCTAAGCCAAATGGCAAAGCCAAATGGCAAAGACAAATGGCTAAGCCAAATGGCTAAGATAAACGGCTAAGCCAAATGGCTAAGACAAATGGCAAAGCCAAATGGCTAAGCCAAAGGGCAAAGCCAAATGGCTAAGCCAAATGGCTAAGCCAAACGGCTAAGCCAAACGGCAAAGCCAAATGGCTAAGCCAAACGGCTAAGCCAAACGGCAAAGCCAAATGGCTAAGACAAATGGCTAAGCCAAATGGCTAAGCCAAATGGCTAAACCAAATGGCTAAGCGAAATGGCTAAGACAAACGGCTCAGCCAAATGACAAAGCCAAATGGCTAAGCCAAATGGCAAAGCCAAATGGCTAAGCCAAACGGCTAAGCCAAACGGCTAAGCCAAACGGCTAAACCAAACGGCTAAGCCAAACGGCTAAGACAAACGGCTAAGCCAAACGGCTAAGACAAACGGCTAAGCCAAACGGCTAAGCCAAACGGCTAAGCAAAACGGCTAAGCCAAACGGCTAAGCCAAACGGCTAAGCCAAACGGCTAAGCCAAACGGCTAAGCCAAACGGCTAAGCCAAACGGCTAAGCCAAATGGCTTAGCCAAATGGCTAAGACAAATGGCTAAGCCAAATGGCTAAGCCAAATGGCTAAGACAAATGGCTAAGCCAAATGGCTAAGCCAAATGGCTTAGCCATTTACGGCTAAGCCAAACGGCTAAGCCAAACGGCTAAGCCAAATGGCTTAGCCAAAGGGCTAAGACAAATGGCTAAGCCAAATGGCTAAGCCAAATGGCTAAGCCAAATGGCTAAGCCAAATGGCTAAGCCAAATGGCTAAGCCAAATGGCTAAGACAAATGGCTAAGACAAATGGCTAAGCCAAATGGCAAAGACAAATGGCTAAGCCAAATGGCTAAGACAAATGGCTAAGCCAAAGGGCTAAGCCAAATGGCTAAGACAAACGGCTAAGACAAACGGCAAAGCCAAATGGCTAAGCCAAATGGCAAAGCCAAATGGCAAAGCCAAATGGCTAAGACAAAGGGCTAAGCCAAACGGCTAAGCCAAACGGCTAAGCCAAACGGCTAAGACAAACGGCTAAGACAAACGGCTAAGCCAAACGGCTAAGCCAAACGGCTAAGCCAAACGGCTAAGCCAAACGGCTAAGCCAAACGGCTAAGCCAAACGGCTAAGCCAAACGGCTTAGCCAAATGGCTAAGACAAATGGCTAAGCCAAATGGCTAAGCCAAATGGCTAAGACAAATGGCTAAGCCAAATGGCTAAGCCAAATGGCTAAGACAAATGGCTAAGCCAAATGGCTAATCCAAATGGCTTAGCCATTTACGGCTAAGCCAAACGGCTAAGCCAAATGGCTAAGCCAAATGGCTTAGCCAAAGGGCTAAGACAAATGGCTAAGCCAAATGGCTAAGCCAAACGGCTAAGCCAAACGGCTAAGCCAAACGGCTAAGCCAAACGGCTAAGCCAAACGGCTAAGCCAAACGGCTAAGCCAAACGGCTAAGCCAAACGGCTAAGCCAAACGGCTAAGCCAAACGGCTAAGCCAAATGGCTAAGCCAAATGGCTTAGCCAAAGGGCTAAGACAAATGGCTAAGCCAAATGGCTAAGCCAAATGGCTAAGCCAAACGGCTAAGCCGAACGGCTAAGCCAAACGGCTAAGCCAAACGGCTAAGCCAAACGGCTAAGCCAAACGGCTAAGCCAAACGGCTAAGCCAAACGGCTAAGCCAAACGGCTAAGCCAAACGGCTAAGCCAAATGGCTTAGCCAAATGGCTAAGACAAATGGCTAAGCCAAATGGCTAAGCCAAATGGCTAAGACAAATGGCTAAGCCAAATGGCTAAGCCAAATGGCTTAGCCATTTACGGCTAAGCCAAACGGCTAAGCCAAACGGCTAAGCCAAATGGCTTAGCCAAAGGGCTAAGACAAATGGCTAAGCCAAATGGCTAAGCCGAACGGCTAAGCCAAACGGCTAAGCCAAACGGCTAAGCCAAACGGCTAAGCCAAACGGCTAAGCCAAACGGCTGAGCCAAACGGCTAAGCCAAACGGCTGAGCCAAACGGCTAAGCCAAACGGCTAAGCCAAATGGCTTAGCCAAATGGCTAAGACAAATGGCTAAGCCAAATGGCTAAGCCAAATGGCTAAGACAAATGGCTAAGCCAAATGGCAAAGACAAATGGCTAAGCCAAATGGCTAAGACAAATGGCTAAGCCAAACGGCTAAGCCAAATGGCTAAGACAAACGGCTAAGACAAACGGCAAAGCCAAATGGCTAAGCCAAATGGCAAAGCCAAATGGCTAAGACAAAGGGCTAAGCCAAACGGCTAAGCCAAACGGCTAAGCCAAACGGCTAAGACAAACGGCTAAGACAAACGGCTAAGCCAAACGGCTAAGCCAAACGGCTAAGCCAAACGGCTAAGCCAAACGGCTAAGCCAAACGGCTAAGCCAAACGGCTAAGCCAAACGGCTAAGCCAAACGGCTAAGCCAAATGGCTAAGACAAATGGCTAAGACAAATGGCTAAGCCAAATGGCTAAGCCAAATGGCTAAGCCAAATGGCTAAGCCAAACGGCTAAGCCAAACGGCTAAGCCAAACGGCTAAGCCAAACGGCTAAGCCAAACGGCTAAGCCAAACGGCTAAGACAAACGGCTAAGCCAAACGGCTAAGACAAACGGCTAAGCCAAACGGCTAAGCCAAACGGCTAAGCCAAACGGCTAAGCCAAACGGCTAAGCCAAACGGCTAAGCCAAACGGCTAAGACAAACGGCTAAGCCAAACGGCTAAGACAAACGGCTAAGCCAAAGGGCTAAGCCAAACGGCTAAGACAAATGGCTAAGCCAAATGGCTAAGACAAATGGCTAAGCCAAATGGCTAAGCCAAATGGCTAAGACAAATGGCTAAGCCAAATGGCTAAGCGAAATGGCTAAGACAAATGGCTAAGCCAAATGGCAAAGCCAAATGGCAAAGCCAAATGGCTAAGCCAAATGGCTAAGCCAAATGGCTAAGACAAACGGCTAAGCCAAACGGCTAAGACAAACGGCTAAGACAAACGGCTAAGCCAAACGGCTAAGCCAAATGGCTAAGCCAAATGGCTAAGACAAATGGGAGGGGGAAGGCATCAGAGGGGGAAGGCATGAGAGGGGGAAGGCATGAGAGGGGGAAGGCATGAGGGGGGGAAGGCATGAGAGGGGGAAGGCATGAGAGGGGGAAGGCATGAGAGGGGGAAGGCATGAGAGGGGGAAGGCATGAGAGGGGGAAGGCATGAGAGGGGGAAGGCATGAGAGGGGGAAGGCATGAGAGGGGAAGGCCATGAGAGGGGGAAGGCATGAGAGGGGGAAGGCATGAGAGGGGGAAGGCATGAGAGGGGGAAGGCATGAGAGGGGGAAGGCATGAGAGGGGGAAGGCATGAGAGGGGGAAGGCATGAGAGGGGAAGGCATGAGAGGGGGAAGGCATGAGAGGGGGAAGGCATGAGAGGGGGAAGGCATGAGAGGGGGAAGGCATGAGAGGGGGAAGGCATGAGAGGGGGAAGGCATGAGAGGGGGAAGGCATGAGAGGGGGAAGGCATGAGAGGGGGAAGGCATGAGAGGGGGAAGGCATGAGAGGGGGAAGGCATGAGAGGGGGAAGGCATGAGAGGGGGAAGGCATGAGAGGGGGAAGGCATGAGAGGGGGAAGGCATGAGAGGGGGAAGGCATGAGAGGGGGAAGGCATGAGAGGGGGAAGGCATGAGAGGGGGAAGGCATGAGAGGGGGAGGCATGAGAGGGGGAAGGCATGAGAGGGGGAAGGCATGAGAGGGGGAAGGCATGAGAGGGGAAGGCATGAGAGGGGAAGGCATGAGAGGGGGAAGGCATGAGAGGGGGAAGGCATGAGAGGGGGGAAGGCATGAGAGGGGGGAAGGCATGAGAGGGGGAAGGCATGAGAGGGGGAAGGCATGAGAGGGGGAAGGCATGAGAGGGGGAAGGCATGAGAGGGGGAAGGCATGAGAGGGGGAAGGCATGAGAGGGGGAAGGCATGAGAGGGGGAAGGCATGAGAGGGGGAAGGCATTGAGAGGGGGAAGGCATGAGAGAGGGAAGGCATGAGAGGGGGAAGGCATGAGAGGGGGAAGGCATGAGACGGGGAAGGCATGAGAGGGGGAAGGCATGAGAGGGGGAAGGCATGAGAGGGGGAAGGCATGAGTGGGGGAAGGCATGAGAGGGGGAAGGCATGAGAGGGGGAAGGCATGAGAGGGGGAAGGCATGAGAGGAGGAAGGCATGAGAGGGGGAAGGCATGAGAGGGGGAAGGCATGAGAGGGGGAAGGCATGAGAGGGGGAAGGCATGAGAGGGGGACGGCATGAGAGGGGGAAGGCATGAGAGGGGGAAGGCATGAGAGGGGGAAGGCATGAGAGGGGGAAGGCATGAGAGGGGGAAGGCATGAGAGGGGGAAGGCATGAGAGGGGGAAGGCATGGGAGGGGGAAGGCATGGGAGGGGGAAGGCATGAGAGGGGGAAGGCATGAGAGGGGGAAGGCATGAGAGGGGGAAGGCATGAGAGGGGGACGGCATGAGAGAGGGAAGGCATGAGAGGGGGAAGGCATGAGAGGGGAAGGCATGAGAGGGGGAAGGCATGAGAGGGGGAAGGCATGAGAGGGGGAAGGCATGAGAGGGGGAAGGCATGAGAGGGGGACGGCACGAGAGGGGGAAGGCACGAGAGGGGGAAGGCACGAGAGGGGGAAGGCATGAGAGGGGGAAGGCATGAGAGGGGGAAGGCATGAGAGGGGGAAGGCATGAGAGGGGGAAGGCATGAGAAGGGGAAGGCATGAGAGGGGGAAGGCATGAGAGGGGGAAGGCATGAGAGGGGGAAGGCATGAGAGGGGGAAGGCATGAGAGGGGGAAGGCATGAGAGGGGGAAGGCATGAGAGGGGGAAGGCATGAGAGGGGGACGGCATGAGAGGGGGAAGGCATGAGAGGGGGAAGGCATGAGAGGGGGAAGGCATGAGAGGGGGAAGGCATGAGAGGGGGAAGGCATGAGAGGGGGAAGGCATGAGAGGGGGAAGGCATGAGAGGGGGAAGGCATGAGATGGGGAAGGCATGAGAGGGGGAAGGCATGAGAGGGGGAAGGCATGAGAGGGGGAAGGCATGAGAGGGGGAAGGCATGAGAGGGGGAAGGCATGAGAGGGGGAAGGCATGAGAGGGGGAAGGCATGAGATGGGGGAAGGCATGAGAGGGGGAAGGCATGAGAGGGGGAAGGCATGAGAGGGGGAAGGCATGAGAGGGGGAAGGCATGAGAGGGGGAAGGCATGAGAGGGGGAAGGCATGAGAGGGGGAAGGCATGAGAGGGGGAAGGCATGAGAGGGGGAAGGCATGAGAGGGGGGAGGCATGAGAGGGGGAAGGCATGAGAGGGGGAAGGCATGAGAGGGGGAAGGCATGAGAGGGGGAAGGCATGAGAGGGGGAAGGCATGAGAGGGGGAAGGCATGAGAGGGGCGAGGTGATGGAAAGCGGGAGAATGGGGCGGGGTGATGGAAAGCGGGAGAATGGGGCGGGGTGATGGAAAGCGGGAGAATGGGGCGGGGTGATGGAAAGCGGGAGAATGGGGCGGGGTGATGGAAAGCGGGAGAACGGGGCGGGGTGATGGAAAGCGGGAGAACGGGGCGGGGTGAAAAGAATGGGGCGGGGTGATGGAAAGAGGGAGAATGGGGCGGGGTGATGGAAAGAGGGAGAATGGGGCGGGGTGATGGAAAGAAGGAGAATAGGGCGGGGTGATGGAAGGAGGGAGGTTAAGATGGGGTGATGGAAAGCGGGAGAATGGAGCGGGGTGATGGGAAGAGGGAGAATGGGGCGGGGTGATGGAAAGCGGGAGAATGGGGCGGGGTGATAGGAAGCGGGAGAATGGGGCGGGTTATGGAAAGCGGGAGAATGGGGCGGGGTGATGGAAAGCGGGAGAATGGTGCGGGGTGATGGAAAGAGGGAGAATGGGGCGGGGTGATGGAAAGAGGGAGAATGGGGCGGGGTGATGGAAAGCGGGAGAATGGAACGGGGTGATGGAAAGCGGGAGAATGGGGCGGGGTGATGGAAAGAGGGAGAATGGGGCGGGGTGATGGAAGGAGGGAGAATGCGGCAGGGTGATGGAAAGCGGGAGAATAGGGCGGGGTGATAGAAGGAGGGAGGATGGAGCGGGGTGATGGAAAGCGGGAGAATGGGCGGGGTGATGGAAGGAGGGAGGATGGGGCGGGGTGATGGAAAGCGGGAGAATGGTGCGGGGTGATGGAAAGAGGGAGAATGGGGCGGGGTGATGGAAAGCGGGAGAATATGGCGGGGTGATGGAAAGCGGGAGAATGGGGCAGGGTGATGGAAAGCGGGAGAATGGGGCGGGGTGACGGAAAGAGGGAGAATGGGGCGGGGTGATGGAAGGAGGGAGGATGGAGCGGGGTGATGGAAAGCCGGAGAATGGGCGGGGTGATGGAAGGAGGGAGGATAGGGCGGGGTGATGGAAGGCGGGAGAATGGTGCGGGGTGATGGAAAGAGGGAGAATGGGGCGGGGTGATGGAAAGCGGGAGAATATGGCGGGGTGATGGAAAGCGGGAGAATGGGGCAGGGTGATGGAAAGCGGGAGAATGGGGCGGGGTGACGGAAAGAGGGAGAATGGGGCGGGGTGATGGAAGGAGGGAGAATGCGGCGGGGTGATGGAAAGCGGGAGAATGGGGCGGGGTGATGGAAGGAGGGAGGATGGAGTGGGGTGATGGAAAGCGGGAGAATGGGGCGAGGTGATGGAAGGAGGAAAGATGGGGCGGGATGATGGAAAGCGGGAGAATGGGGCGGGGTGATGGAAAGCGGGAGAATGGGGCGGGGTGATGGAAAGCGGGAGAATAGGGCGGGGTGATGGGAAGCGGGAGAATGGGGCGGCGTGATGGAAATCGGGAGAATGGGGCGGGGTGATGGAAATTTGGAGAATGGGGCGGGGTGATGGAAAGAGGGAGAATGGGGCGGGGTGATGGAAAGAGGGAGAATGGGCCGGGGTGATGGAAAGCGGGAGAATGGGGGGGGGTGATGGAAAGCGGGAGAATGGGGCGGGGTGATGGAAAGCGAGAGAATGGGGCGGGGTGATGGAAAGAGGGAGAATGGGGCGGGGTGATGGAAAGCGGGAGAACGGGGCGGGGTGATGGAAAGCGGGAGAATGGGGCGGGGTGATGGAAAGCGGGAGAATGGGGCGGGGTGATGGAAAGCGGGAGAATGGGGCGGGGTGACGGAAAGCGGGAGAATAGGGCGCGGTGATGGAAAGCGGGAGAATGAGGCGGGGTGATGGAAAGAGGGAGAATGGGGTGGGGTGATGGGTAGCGGGAGAATGGGGCGGTGTGATGGAAAGCGGGAGGATGGGGCGGGGTGATGGAAAGAGGGAGAATGGGGCGGGGTGATGGAAAGCGGGAGAATGGGGCGGGGTGATGGAAAGGGGGAGAATGGGGCGGGGTGATGGAAAGCGGGAGAATGGGGCGGGGTGATGGAAAGCGAGCGAATGGGGCGGGGTGATGGAAACAGGGAGAATGGGGCGGGGTGATGGAAGCGGGAGAATGGGGCGAGGTGATGGAAAGCGGAAGAAGGGGCGGGGTGATGGAAAGAGGGAGAATGTGGCAGGGTGATGGAAAGCGGGAGAATGGGGCGGGGTGATGGAAAGCGGGAGAATGGGGCGGGGTGATAGGAAGCGGGAGAATGGGGCGGGGTTACGGAAAGCGGGAGAATGGGGCGGGGTGATGGAAAGTGGGAGAATGGTGCGGGGTGATGGAAAGAGGGAGAATGGGGCGTGGTGATGGAAAGCGGGAGAATGGGGCGGGGTGATGGAAAGCGGGAGAATGGAACGGGGTGATGGATAGCGGGAGAATGGGGCGGGTTGATGGAAAGAGGGAGAATGGGGCAGGGTGATGGAAGGAGGGAGAATGCGGCGGGGTGATGGAAAGCGGGAGAATGGAGCGGGGTGATGGAAGGAGGGAGGATGGAGCGGGGTGATGGAAAGCGGGAGAATGGGGCAGGGTGATGGAAGGAGGGAGGATGGGGCGGGGTGATGGAAAGCGGGAGAATGGGGCGTGGTGATGGAAAGCTGGAGAATGGGGCGGGGTGATGGAAAGCGGGAGAATAGGGCGGCGTGATGGGAAGCGGGAGAATGGGGCGGGGTGATGGAAAGCACAGAATGGGGCGGGGTGATGAAAAGTGGGAGAATGGGGTGGGGTGATGGAAAGAGGGAGAATGGGGTGGGGTGATGGAAAGAGGGAGAATGGGGCGGGGTGATGGATAGGCATGAGAGGGGGAAGGCATGAGAGGGGGAAGGCATGAGAGGGGGAAGGCATGAGAGGGCGAAGGCATGAGAGGGGGAAGGCATGAGAGGGGGAAGGCATGAGAGGGGGAAGGCATGAGAGGGGGAAGGCATGAGAGGGGGAAGGCATGAGAGGGGGAAGGCATGAGAGGGGGAAGGCATGAGAGGGGGTAGGCATGAGAGGGGGGAGGCATGAGAGGGGGGGGGCATGAGAGGGGGGAGGCATGAGAGGGGGGAGGCGTGAGAGGGGGGAGGCATGAGAGGGGGGAGGCATGAGAGGGGGGAGGCATGAGAGGGGGAAGGCATGAGAGGGGGAAGGCATGAGAGGGGGAAGGCATGAGAGGGGGAAGGCATGAGAGGGGGAAGGCATGAGAGGGGGAAGGCATGAGAGGGGCGGGGTGATGGAGAGGGAGAATGGGGCAGGGTGATGGAAAGCGGGAGAATGGGGCGGGGTGATGGAAAGCGGGAGAATGGGGCGGGTGATGGAAAGCGGGAGAATGGGGCGGGGTGATGGAAAGAGGGAGAATGGGGCGGGGTGCTGGGAAGCGGGAGAATAGGGCGGGGTGATGGAAAGCGGGAGAACGGGGCGGGGTGATGGAAAGCGGGAGAACGGGGCGGGGTGCTGGGAAGCGGGAGAATGGGGCGGGGTGATGGAAAGAGGGAGAATGGGGCGGGGTGATGGAAATAGGGAGAATGGGGCGGGGTGATGGAAGGAGGGAGGTTAAGATGGGGTGATGGAAAGCGGGAGAATGGAGCAGGGTGATGGGAAGAGGGAGAATGGGGCGGGATGATGGAAAGCGGGAGAATGGGGCGGGGTGATAGGAAGCGGGAGAATGGGGCGGGGTTATGGAAAGCGGGAGAATGGGGCGGGGTGATGGAATGCAGGAGAATGGTGCGGGGTGATGGAAAGAGGGAGAATGGGGCTGGGTGATGGAAAGAGGGAGAATGGGGCGGGGTGATGGAAAGCGGGAGAATGGAACGGGGTGATGGAAAGCGGGAGAATGGGGCGGGGTGATGGAAGGAGGGAGAATGCGGCAGTGTGATGGAAAGCGGGAGAATAGGGCGGGGTGATAGAAGGAGGGAGGATGGAGCGGGGTGATGGAAAGCGGGAGAATGGGCGGGGTGATGGAAGGAGGGAGGATGGGGCGGGGTGATGGAAAGCGGGAGAATGGTGCGGGGTGGTGGAAAGAGGGAGAATGGGGCGGGGTGATGGAAAGCGGGAGAATAAGGCGGGGTGATGGAAAGCGGGAGAATGGGGCAGGGTGATGGAAAGCGGGAGAATGGGGCGGGGTGATGGAAAGAGGGAGAATGGGACGGGGTGATGGAAGGAGGGAGAATGCGGCGGGGTGATGGAAAGCGGGAGAATGGGGCGGGGTGATAGAAGGAGGGAGGATGGAGCGGGGTGATGGAAAGCGGGAGAATGGGGCGGGGTGATGGAAGGAGGGAAGATGGGGCGGGATGATGGAAAGCGGGAGAATGGGGCGGGGTGATGGAAAGCGGGAGAATGGGGCGGGGTGATGGAAAGCGGGAGATTAGGGCGGGGTGATGGGAAGCGGGAGAATGGGGCGGGGTGATGGAAATCGGGAGAATGGGGCGGGGTGATGGAAATTGGGAGAATGGGGCGGGGTGATGGAAAGAGGGAGAAGGGGGCGGGGTGATGGAAAGAGGGAGAATGGGGCGGGGTGATGGAAAGCGGGAGAATGGGGCGGGGTGATGGAAAGCGGGAGAATTGGGCGGGGTGATGGAAAGAGGGAGAATGGGGCGGGGTGATGGAAAGTGGGAGAACGGGGCGGGGTGATGGAAAGCGGGAGAATGGGGCGGGGTGATGGAAAGCGGGAGAATGGGGCGGGGTGATCGAAAGCGGGAGAATGGGGCGGGGTGATGGAAAGCGGGAGAACGGGGCGGGGTGACGGAAAGCGGGAGAATGGGGCGGGGTGATGGAAAGCGGGAGAATGAGGCGGGGTGATGGAAAGAGGGAGAATGGGGTGGGGTGATGGGTAGCGGGAGAATGGGGCGGGGTGACGGAAAGCGGGAGAATGGGGCGGGGTGATGGAAAGAGGGAGAATGGGGCGGGGTGATGGAAAGAGGGAGAATGGGGCGGGGTGATGGAAAGACGGAGAATGGGGCGGGGTGATGGAAAGCGGGAGAATAGGGCGGGGTGATGGAAAGGGGGAGAATGGGGCGGGGTGATGGAAAGCGGGAGAATGGGGCGGGGTGATGGAAAGCGAGAGAATGGGGCAGGGTGATGGAAAGAGGGAGAATGGGGCGGGGTGATGGAAGCGGGAGAATGGGGCGGGTTGATGGAAAGAGGGAGAATGGGGCAGGGTGATGGAAGGAGGGAGAATGCGGCGGGGTGATGGAAAGCGGGAGAATGGGGCGGGGTGATGGAAAGCGGGATAATGGGGCGGGGTGATAAGAAGCGGGAGAATGGGGCGGGGTTACGGAAAGCGGGAAAATGGGGCGGGGTGATGGAAAGTGGGAGAATGGTGCGGGGTGATGGAAAGAGGGAGAATGGGGCGGGATGATGGAAAGCGGGAGAATGGGGCGGGGTGATGGAAAGCGGGAGAATGGAACGGGGTGATGGAAAGCGGGAGAATGGGGCGGGTTGATGGAAAGAGGGAGAATGGGGCAGGGTGATGGAAGGAGGGAGAATGCAGCGGGGTGATGGAAAGCGGGAGAATGGGGCGGGGTGATGGAAGGAGGGAGGATGGAGCGGGGTGATGGAAAGCGGGAGAATGGGGCAGGGTGATGGAAGGAGGGAGGATGGGGCGGGGTGATGGAAAGCGGGAGAATGGGGTGGGGTGATGGAAAGCACAGAATGGGGCGGGGTGATGGAAAGTGGGAGAATGGGGTGGGGTGATGGAAAGAGGGAGAATGGGGTGGGGTGATGGAAAGAGGGAGAATGGGGCGGGGTGATGGAAAGCGAGAGAAAGGGGCGGGGTGATGGAAAGCGAGAGAATGGGGCGGGGTCATGGAAAGAGGGAGAATGGGGCGGGGTGATGGAAAGCGGGAGAACGGGGCGGGGTGATGGAAAGCGGGAGAATGGGGCGGGGTGATGGAAAGCGGGAGAATGGGGCGAAGTGATGGAAAGCGGGAGAATGGGGCGGGATGACGGAAAGCGGGAGAATGGGGCGGGGTGATGGAAAGCGGGAGAATGGGGCGGGGTGATGGAAAGCAAGAGAATGGGGCGGGGTGATGGAAAGCGGGAGAATGGGCCGGGGTGATGGAAAACGGGAGGATGGGGCGGAGTGATGGAAAGCGGGAGGATGGGGCGGGGTGATGGAAAGCGGGAGGATGGGGCGGGGTGATGGAAAGCGGTAGAATGGGGCGGGTTGATGGAAAGCGGGAGAATGGGGCGGGGTGATGGAAAGCGGGAGAATGGGGCGTGGTGATGGAAAGCGGGAGAATGGGGCGGGGTGATGGAAAGCGGGAGAATAGGGCGGGGTGATGGAAAGCGGGAGAATGGGCGAGGTGATGGAAAGCGGGAAATGAGGCGGGGTGATGGAAAGCGGGAGAATGGGGCGGGGTGATGGAAAGCGGGAGAATGGGGCGGGGTGATGGAAAGCGGGAGAATGGGGCGGGGTGATGGAAAGCGGGAGAATGGGGCGGGGTGATGGGAGACCATGGGCCATCGGAATATGCAATGCCATTTAGGTCGTTCGATGATTTTTCCTACGCCCATAGGGATACATGCGCTTCCTTAGCATTTGTAGGCTGAAACTGACATCCTCGCAATCGCCGAACTTTTCTGTTCGCGCAAACCAAGCTGAAATTGCTCTGGTAGGTATATTTGACCATGGGCCATCGGAATATGCAATAATATTTAGGTCGTTTTATGATTTTCCCCACGCCCATAGGGATCCATGCGCTCCCTTAGCATTTGTTGGCTGAAATTGTCATCATCGCGATCGCCAAACTTTTCCGTTCCCGCAAACCAAGCTGAAATTGTTGTGGTAGGTGTATTTGACGATGGGACATCGGAATATGCAATAAAATTTAGGTCGTTCGATGATTTTCCCTATGCCCATAGGGATCCATGCGCTTCCTAGCCGAATAGTCTAATCTCGTGGACTAGCGCAAAAGAAGAGACATCCAATGCAGTGGACCAGTCAAAGTGATGCGTTGGGCAGTCTGGTCAGTATGCACACCTATTATGGGCGTACCATGCATAGTTCAGGCGCTCAAATTTTGAGAACCACACGGAACGAAATGGAAACAAATGTTGTGGATGTGGAAAATGGTATAATCTAGTGGACTAGTGCAAAAGAAGAGGCATCCAATGCAGTGGATCAGTCAAAGTGATGCGTTGGGTAGTCTGGTCAGTATGCGCACCTATAATGGGCCTACCACGCATAATTCAGGCGCTCAAATTTTGAGAACCACATGGAACGAAATGGAAACAATTGTTGTGGATACGGAAAATAGTCTAATCTAGTGGACTAGTGCAAAAGAAGAGGCATCCAATGCAGTGGACATGTCAAAGTGATGCGTTGGGCAGTCTGGTCAGTATGCGCACCTATTATGGGCGTACCAGGCATAGTTCAGGCGCTCAAATTTTGAGAACCACATGGAACGAAATGGAAACACTTGTTGTAGATGCGAAAAATAGTTTAATATAGTGGACTAGCACAAAAGAAGAGGCATCTAATGCAGTGGACCAGTCAATGTGATGCGTTGGACAGTCTGGTCAGTATGCGCACCTATAATGGGCGTACCAGGCAGAGTTCAGGCGCTCAATTTTGAGAACCACATGGAACGGAATCGAACAAATTGTTGTGGATGTGGAAAATAGTCTAATCTAGTGGACTAGCGCAAAAGAAGAGGCATCCAATGCAGTGGACCAGTCAATGTGATACGTTGGGTAGACTGGTCAGTATGCGCACCTATAATGGGCGTACCACGCATGGTTCAGGTGCTCAAATTTTGAGAACCACATGAAACAACATGGAAACACTTGTTGTGGATGCGGAAAATAGTCTAATCTAGTGGACTGGCACAAAAGAAGAGGCATTCAATGCAGTGGACCAGTCAAAGTGATGCGTTGGGCAGTCTGGTCAGTATGCGCACCTATAATGGGCGTACCACGCATGGTTCAGGCGCTCAAATTTTGAGAACCACGTGGAACAAAATGGAAACACTTGTTGTGGATGCAGAAATAGTCTAATCTAGTAGACTAGTGCAAATGAAGAGGCATCCAATGCAGTGGACCAGTCTAAGTGATGCGTCGGGCAGTCTGGTCAGTATGCGCACATATAATGGGCGTACCACGCAGGGTTCAGGCACTCAAATTTTGAGAACCACATGGAACGAAATGGAATAAATTGTTGTGGATGCGAGAAATAGTCTAATATTGTGGACTAGCACAAAAGAAGAGACATCCAATGCAATGGACTAGTCAAAGTGATGCGTTGGGCAGTCTGGTCAGTATGCGCACTTATAATGGGCGAACCAGGCAGAGTTCAGGCACTCAAATTTTCAGAGCACATGGAACGAAATGGAAACACTTGTTGTGGATGTGTAAAATAGTCTAATCTAGTGGACAAGCACAAAAGAAGAGGCATCCAATGCAGTGGACCAATCAAAGTGATGCGTTGGGCAGTCTGGTCAGTATGCGCATCTATAATGGGCGTACCACGCATAGTTCAGGTGCTCGGATCTTGAGAACCACATGGAACGAAATGGAAACACTTGTTGTGGATGTGGAAAATAGTCTAATCTAGTGGAGTAGCACAAAAGAAGAGACATCCAGTGCAGTGGACCAGTCAAAGTGATGCGTTGGGCAGTCTGGTCAGTTTGCGCACCTATTTTGGGCGCACCAGGCAGAGTTCAGGCGCTCAAATTTTGAGAACCACATGAACGAAATGGATAAAATTGTTGTGGATGTGGAAAATAGTATAATCAGGTGGACTAGCACAAAAGAATAGGCATCCAATGCCTTGGACCAGTTAAAGTGATGCGTTGGGTAGTCTGGTCAGTATGCGCACCTATAATGGGCGTACCACGCATACTTCATGCGCTCATATTTTGAGAACCACATGGAACGAAATGGAAACACTTGTTGTGGATGTAGAAAATAGTCCAATCTAGTAGACTAGCACAAATGAAGAGGCATCCAATGCAGTGGACCAGTCAAAGTGATGCGTTGGGTAGTCTGGTCAGTATGCGCAACTATAGTTGGCGTACCTGCAAAGTTCAGGAGCTCAAACTTTGAGAACCACATGGAACGAAATAGAAACACTTGTTGTGGATGTGGAAATAAGTCTAATCTAGTGGACTAGCGCAAATGCAGTGGACCAGTCATAGTGATGCGTTGGGCAGTCTGGTTAGTATGCGCACCTATAATGGGCGTACCACGCATAGTTCAGGCGCTCAAATTTTGAGAACCACATGGAACGAAATAGAAACACTTGTTATGGATGTGGAAAGTAGTAGAATCTACTGGACTAGCACAAAAGAAGAGGCGTCCAATGCAGTGGACCAGTCAAAGTGATGCGCTGGGTACCCTGGTTAGTATGCGCACCTAAAATGGGCGTACCACGCATAGTTCAGGAGCTCAAATTTTGAGAGCCATATGGAACTAAATGGAAACACTTGTTGTGGACGTGGACAATAGTCTAATCTAGTGGACTAGCACAAAAGAAGAGGCATCCAATGCAGTGGACCAGTCAAAGTGATGCGTTGGGTAGTCTGGTTAGTATGCGCACCTTTACAGGGCATACCACGCAAAGTTCAGGCGCTCAAATTTTAAGTACCACATGGAACAAAATGGATACAATAGTTGTGGATGTAGAAAATAGTCTAATCTAGTGGACTAGCACAAAAGAAGAGGCATCCAATGAGTGGACCAGTCTTAGTGATGCGTTGGGCAGTCTGGTCAGTATGCGTACCTATAATTGGCGTACCACGCAGAGTTCAGGCGCTCAAATTTTGAGAACCACAAGGAACGAAATGGAGAAAAATATTGTGGATGTGGAAAACAGTCTAATCTAGTGGACTAGCACAAAAGAAGAGGCATCTAATGCAGTGGACCAGTCAAAGTGATGCGTTGGGCAGTCTGATCAGTATGTGCACCTATAATGGGCGTACCACGCAGAGTTCAGGCGCTCAAATTTTGAGAACCACATGGAACGAAATGGAAAAAAATGTTGTGGATGTGGAAAACAGTCTAATCTAGTGGACTAGCACAAAAAAAGAGGCATCCAATGCAGTGGACCAGTCAAAGTGATGCGTTGGGTAGTCTGGTCAGTATGCGCACCTATAATGGGCGTACCACGCAGAGTTCAGGCGCTCAAATTTTGAGAACCACATGGAACTAAATGGAAACAATTGTTGTGGATGTGGAAAAATGTCTAATCTAATGGACTAGAACAAAAGAAGAGGCATCCAATGCAGTGGACCAGTCAAAGTGATGCGTTAGGTAGTCTGGTCAGTATGCGCACCTGTAATGGGCATACCAGGCAGAGTTTACGCACTCAAATTTTGAGAACCACATGGAACGAAATAAAAACAATTGTTGTGGATGTGGAAAAGAGTCTAACCTAGTGGACTAGCACAAAAGAAGAGGCATCCAATGCAGTGGACCAGTCAAAGTGATGCGTTGGGCAGTCTGGTCAGTATGCGCACCTGTAATGGGCGTACCAGGCATAGTTCAGGCGCTCAAATTTTAAGAACCACATGGAACGAAATGGAAGCACTTGTTGTGGATGTGGAAAATAGTATAACCTAGTGGACTAGCACAAAAGAAGAGGCGTCCAGTGCAGTGGACCAGTCAAAGTGGTGCGTTGGGCAGTCTGGTCAGTATGCGCACCTGTAATGGGCGTACCACGCATAGTTCAGGCGCTCAAATTTTGAGAACCACATGGAACAAAATGGAAACACTTGTTGTGGATGTGGAAAATGGTATAATCTAGTCGACTAGCACAAAAGAAGAAGCGTCCAATGCAGTGGACCAGTCAAAGTGATGCGCTGGGTACTTTGGTTAGTATGCGCACCTAAAATGGGCGTACCACGCATAGTTCAGGAGCTCAAATTTTGGGAGCCACATGGAACTAAATGGAAACACTTGTTGTGGACATGGAAAAGAGTCTAATCTAGTGGACTAGCACAAAAGAAGAGGCGTCCAATGCACTGGACCAGTCAAAGTGATGCGTTGGGTAGTCTAGTTAGTATGCGCACCTATAATGGGCGTACCACGCAAATTTCAGGCGCTCAAATTTTGAGAACCACATGGAATGAAATGGAAACAACGACACAGAGATGGAGGTGCGTTTTGAGTCGACTCACAAGGTACGTGAGGCAGAGCGACAAGGGCACTGAGATGGAGAGGTGCGTGGGGCTCAATACCGCACAGAGATGGAGGTGCGTTTTGAGTCGACTCACAAGTCACGTGAGGCAGGGCGACAAGGGCACTCAGATTGGAGAGGTGCGTGGGGCTCAATACAACACAGAGATGGAGGTGCGCTTTGAGTCGACTCACAAGTCACGTGAGGCAGAGCGACAAGGGCACTGAGATGGAGAGGTGCGTGGGGCTCACTACGACACAGAGATGGAGGTGCGCTTTGAGTGGACTCACAAGTCACGTGAGGCAGAGCGACAAGGGCACCGAGATGGAGAGGTGCGTGGGGCTCACTACAACACAGAGATGGAGGTGCGCTTTGAGTGGACTCACAAGTCACGTGAGGCAGAGCGACAAGGGCACCGAGATGGAGAGGTGCGTGGGGCTCACTACGACACAGAGATGGAGGTGCGCTTTGAGTGGACTCACAAGTCACGTGAGGCAGAGCGACAAGGGCACCGAG